GGGTAGGAATAACCTCCTTACTCGCTCTTTACCTAATTTTCTCTTCTTTGTTTTTATCAAACAAAAAATTTGTTGGATTAAATGTAAAATTATGTAATAGCAGGTTTCGAACCCAAGTCGAAATGAAATAATAACACTTATTTTTACCACTGCGATGGATAACCACTTGCCTCTCTACCCAATTATCTCAATTCTCTATTTTCCACAGTATTGGGATTTAGTGGAAGTTGAATAATGTTGAATTAATTAAAAATTAAATTTGATAGTTTTGTATTGCAAGTGTGGTCAATCACGTATGTATTAATAATAAATTATTGTTTTAATCACGTGTCAATTCCAAGGTAATTTTGACTGATTTTTCGTATACGTAAAAAATTACTGTTATACTGTTTGTCCAGATGTGGTGAATGATCGTATTAAATATGTGAATTGATGTACACATCAATAACATTTTATTAAAAATTGGTTATGTAAATTTGACTTATTATTCTAAACATATATTATTGTATGCCGACTCAATTAGTATGCTTTAAATACTTACTAAATTATATTTACTAAGTCACCATACACTTACGTTAACGTATACTTACTAGAGTTTTACTTACTTGACTTATTATTTATTTCTTTCACACGGAATAAGAAGAGGAACAATAAAAAAAGTGTTGAGCAGGTTTTAGCCATCACTAGAAAACAAATTGAGTCGTAGAAAGCAAAGTAAGAGACCGAGATTATAGATTTATCGAGAAAAATTCTTACGAAGTTTTGTCATAGCATCTATAACGGCCTCCAATTTAAGCAGACGAAATAATCAATGTTTTCAGGTGTACAAATTGGTATAATTCAAAGATTCTAATTTCATTTTGTCAAATTCAAAGATTCTAATTATTTGACCATTTACTACCTATGAAAATACTTTTCTTTTTACAAACGCGATATTAATCTTTAACTTAATATGTGAAGGAGCGATTCGGAATTGATTACACATACGAGTAACGCATATGTTTTAACTAATATAACTACACACGCATCTGATTGTTTATGAAAATGATTTTTCCATATTCATTTTATTAGGTTTAAAATGATAGTAGACTAAGTCAATATACTATAAAAAAAATTTGGAAAAAAAATATACTATGAATTTTCTCTTGAAAATTTTCACACCATTTATCAAAAGTACTAGCAACTTCCCTCTTTCATGTATATATAATGTGAAAGAGTTACGAGAAAATTTTCAATATGCTCAAATTTCAAAAGGATACACAATATATTATCATAAATTTAGTGGAAAGTTTTCTTTCTAGTGTTTCTCAAATTGCATAATTATATGCAATATAGCACTATTTGTCCAGACATGCCAAAAAATCTTTTGACCATTACAAAGAATATTCCCAATAGAATAATGCTATCTGGATAAAGTTTGTGACAAGTGCAAGGAACCTTGGACAAAAGCCAAATTATTGGACAGCATCAAAGCTGTGTTTGGTTTACTTGCACGAGTACGCTTTCCACATTGGAGATGGATTGCCTGTCTCTTATTTCCATACTCTTCTCATCTTTTTCTGTTTTGTGTGATGGGTAAGCTACGTTAACATTTTATATTCTTATTACTTTTTGTTTTATTATTTTTATAAAAAAAATCAATATAAAATATTGACGTGGCTTAACTGTGACCACACAAACAGGAAGGGATGGAAGGCAGACCATCCACCTCCTTCCACGTTCGATTCCTAGGTAGCCAAAGTCAAATGATTAACCAATCAGAGCCACGGGACGCAGGCAAAACGACAAACACAATCAACCATAAAAGGAGCAACCCTCTCCGTTCAAACATTTCAAACGCCTTCATTTCCTTTCTACTCCTGTAACCCTAGAACCTCATCCACCAGCAGCAAAACAGTTTCAGAATTCTTAATCTTTGTCTTTGTGTCTTTGTCTTTTTTTATTTATTTGATTATTTTTCTGAGGGTGGTCCAAAAATGGAGGCAAAACGAAGCTCTGACCTTCCCCCTGGTTTTAGATTCCACCCAACTGATGAGGAACTCATCGTTTTTTACCTAAAAAACCAAGCCTCCTCAAGGCCCTGCCCTGTCCATCATCCCAGAGGTTGATATTTACAAGTTTGACCCGTGGGAGTTGCCTGGTTAGTATCGTAATTTAGACGTCCAAAGCGGAGAAGGACTTACCTACACGCTCGGGATGTCACTATGACAGTGATGTCACTATGACAATATCTGAGTCCAATCGTGCGCACTGCATGCCAGAAAAGTTATGTCGTATGATAGTGCGCGATTGACTTAAGATACCACTACAGTGACATCCTGAGCCTAGGCGAGTTTCTCTCGGCCAAAGGGGCCTTTAGAGAAATTGCTTACCCTGATTTTTATTGATCGTAACTTGGTATTGTTTATGATGTTCAGAGAAGGCAGAGTTTGGAGAAAACGAATGGTACTTCTTCACCCCGAGAGACCGAAAGTACCCGAACGGGGTACGCCCGAATCGGGCAACCGTATCGGGTTACTGGAAAGCCACGGGAACAGACAAGGCAATTTACAGCGAGTCCAAGTACGTGGGGGTGAAGAAAGCTCTCGTGTTTTACCAGGGCAGGCCGCCAAAGGGGGTCAAGTCGGACTGGATTATGCACGAGTATCGCTTAAGCGACTCGCGAAAACAACAACCCAACAAGCACCTCGGGTCCATGAGAGTAAGCCACTTTGTCATCGTTCAGTCAGGCATTTTATCAAACACTTGACTGTAGTCTGACAATCGCTTCGTATTTCGCTTTGTATTTGTTGAATTTTAGCTGGATGATTGGGTCCTCTGCAGGATCTACAAAAAAAAGCATCCGGGCAAAGCTTATCTGGATCAAAAAGTGGAAGAAGATCAAAAAATTGAGATGAGAACACCAGAAACGGCGAAAGCCAATGAGGAACAAGTGATGTTGAAATTTCCACGGGCCTGTTCGATAACTAGCTTACTGGACATGGACTACTTGGGCCCGATCTCCCAACTTTTTAGTGACAATATTTCTGGATACGATTTTCAGACCAGCATGGCCGGCGCAGGAGCCGGCCAGGCTCAAATGTTTCAGTTCGGTGAAGTGCCGAATTACCAAAACACGACGGACTCCGGAAAATTCCAAGTGACGTCGGCTCAGACTAGCGTTTTTAACCACCAACCGTGGTTTGGACCGTAATTAAACGATGAAAATTTGGGTGTTTTAGATGGAAAATTAAGGTGGGAAATTAGGGTGTTAAAAAGAATGTTGTAATAAAATGGTGGGTTGTGAGAGGAGTTGAATTATTTGAAACAAATTATGAAATGGATTTGAGCTGTTTAATTTGAATTCTCACAAAGAAGATGATTTTGGGTAATTTTAATTTTTACCCATATTCTAAATGGAGCACCATTTATTTACATCATAAGTAATAAGTATAATCAAGATAGAAATTAAGTATAATAATCATGGACATCAAACTCAAATCCTTTCACATATGAGAAATGCTAAGAAGACTCTCTCAAAGTGAAGCTCTTCATAAACTCCCTGCCGCCTCGGAGTTTAACGGCAGTTTCCGTTATATCATGTTGTCAATCTTATCGATTCGGTAGATAATTCAATTTTACAATTGTTGATAGCAAAACGATATATCCATTATTTTTTGTCTCTCACGGACATTCAGGTTCCATTTTCACTATATTTTTGTTAATTTATTCAATTTAATAGTAAAAAATAAAGAAAATTATATATGTGAACGAGATAATTATCAACTTAGTTCCAACGACATAAGTTCTTTGTTATCTTCGATTCGATGCGCGAGACGTGAATAATAACGGTGAATAAGGTCGGCCAAAGAAAACGTACAAAGCAATTTGGGATGACGTATACCACGGACTACGTGGGTCACGAAACACGCGCATGCATGGGTTGAAAGTGAAATGTTCGATGGGAGCTGGCTGCTGATGACGTTCGTCCTTTGACAACATCCTATTTAACAAGCCTGATCATTTTTTATTTTTTTTTACAAATAAAATTAGTGAATGTTATAACGTGAGTTTATAACTAAATAAGATATCAAGATAATTTGATTGTGTAATTGTGGCCGATCATGGTAAGTCACACACTAAACGCATGTTAACACATCCCGATTCGAAATATCTACTTAAATACTCAAATAAAGACATGTTGGCCGATATCTGAAAGATAACAAAATCATAAAATAATAGAAATAGGGAAAAGTACGAGTAAACTACAAAAGTAATTAAAGTAAAAGTGCGTATCTGAGTAAGGTTGAAATTGTGGTTCATGGTTTGTGGGGAGTTTGTGGTAGGGAAAGCAATGTGATTTAAGCACGTCTTCTCTCCGCTGCAGATCGAAGCTATGATAGCAAGGGGAAGGTGCAACTTTTGAGGTGGAAAGGGGTCTCCAAAATTTCTTTTTAATGCGATTCTCTCCGAATCGTTTCAGCATTACATGATAATTCTACAGTTCTACTAATATGTCTGCAGTTGGACATATTGTGGAAGACACCAAGGTTCATTTGCCCATACGCGCTGCCAAGCTAATGGTATCGCTCATCGTCTAGCTAAGTTTGCTCTCCAAATTGATGGTGTTCGGACTTGGTTTGTTGAACCTCCCACGAGACACATTATTACCATACGGATTAGCTTTAACAAAAAACACCATTTAATTAGTTTGAGATACTGTCACGGTCGCATCTCAGAAAAGTTCTCTCCTTTCTCACCTCAAGTCATGAATTTCAGCAAGCCCTTATAATAATTAAAAATCATGGTCGGAAAGAATTAGGTTAAGGGCACAAAAGAGGTGAAACTGAGCATGTAAAGATTGTTAACAAAGCCATAGCTAATTTCTCACTAATCCCCAAGTCCCAACCACTTAACTAGCTAATTAGCTATTTAAATCTTTAACTACTTCATCTTTGCCATTATAAATCAACCCCCCTAGCATTTCAACATTGCCCTCTGTGTGTGAGGCATCTGATGAAATGGAAGATCAAGAAAGTAACATTTTATTTGCTTTTTCTTCCCAAGATGGACTTTTCATGGTACTCTGCATGGTTTTGTCATGGATATTCATCCACAGATGGAGCCAGAGGAACAAAAAAGGCCCCAAAACATGGCCTCTCGTCGGAGCAGCGATCGAACAGTTCACCAACTACGACAGAATGCACGATTGGCTCGTCAAGTACCTCTCAGAGTCAAACTCCGTCGTCGTCCCAATGCCATTCACAACTTACACGTACATTGCAGATCCTGCAAATGTAGAACATGTCCTCAAGACCAACTTTGCAAACTACCCTAAGGTGATATTTCTTCGGCGCCGTTACTAATTGTGTTGATTTGGTTGGTTCTTGTTTTTGTTTAATTTCGTGTTGATCTCCGGCGCGTTTTGTGAATTTTAAGGGTGAAGTGTATCGTTCGTACATGGAAGTACTGCTCGGAGATGGGATCTTCAATGTGGATGGAGAGCTTTGGAGGAAACAGAGAAAGACTGCAAGCTTTGAATTTGCGTCCAAGAATTTGAGGGATTTCAGCACTGTGGTTTTCAGAGATTACAGCCTCAAGCTCCATTCGATTCTCAGCCGAGCGTCTTTTCAAGGCCAACAAGTCGATATGCAGGTGTAAACACCTTCGTTACAGCGTCCGCATTGTCTGTCGTCTTGATAGAGATGGTTTTACTTCGTTGACGGTGTTAGAAATGAATGTGTTTTCTTTGTGCAGGAACTGCTGATGAGGATGACTTTGGACTCCATCTGCAAGGTGGGATTCGGTGTGGAAATTGGAACTCTGGCTCCCAATCTGCCGGACAATCACTTTGCCAAGGCCTTTGACACTGCAAACATCATCGTGACGCTTCGATTTATCGATCCGCTGTGGAGAATAAAGAGATATTTGAATGTGGGTTCAGAAGCTTTACTTGACAAGAGCATTAAAACCATTGATGATTTTACATACTCTGTTATTCGAAGAAGGAAAGCAGAGATCAAAGAAACTCAGCAGAGTTCTGAAAACAACAAGGTAACACGAAACGTTACTTTTTGTTTGCAGCATGAAGAAAACAGATTCATAATCCGAATAACCTAATTTGTGATCAGATGAAGCATGATTTACTGTCGAGATTCATCGAGTTAGGCAAAGACTCGGAAAGCGATTTAACCGACAAAAGCCTGCGAGACGTTGTTCTCAACTTTGTAATCGCCGGGCGGGACACAACAGCAACTACTCTCTCATGGGCCATATACATGGTAATGACTCACCCCCATGTAGCTGAGAAGCTCTATTCCGAGCTGAAAACTTTTGAAGAAGATCAAGCAAGAGAAGAGAAGGTTTCGTTGCTCCCGTATGACACAGAGAACCTTGAATTATTCAATCGAAGAGTTGCACAATTTGCAGGACTGCTGAGTTACGACTCGCTGGGGAAACTGTATTATTTGCATGCTGTTATTACAGAGACGCTTCGTCTGTACCCTGCAGTCCCTCAGGTATGCATCATACCTAACTAAAACGTTGATGTCGATATTGTTGCTCTAAGTAATCTACATGGCTGCAGGATCCTAAAGGCATCTTGGAGGATGATGTTCTACCAGATGGAACCAAAGTCAAAGCAGGAGGAATGGTGACTTATGTTCCCTACTCAATGGGTAGAATGGAGTACAATTGGGGACCTGATGCAGCTTCGTTTAAGCCCGAGAGATGGCTCAAAGAGGGTTTCTTCCAAAATGCATCGCCATTCAAGTTCACCGCATTTCAGGTTAGTTAACCTAGCAATCTTAGCCGTATATTCATTCTAAAGTCCAGGTCATAAACATAAACACTCGATTACCTCTGATTTGCAGGCAGGACCAAGAATTTGCCTAGGGAAGGACTCTGCATACCTCCAAATGAAGATGGCCCTGGCCATTCTGTGCAGATTTTACACCTTCACTTTGGTCCCCGGGCATCCAGTTCAATACCGGATGATGACAATTCTGTCAATGGCGCATGGCTTGAAGCTTACCATAGCCAGGCGCTAATCATCTGTGTCAAAGATAATTAAAAGCAGATTAAGAGTCTTCTCGTATATATCGAAGCTTTTTAGACACGCAACAGCCAAAAGGGAGAACTTAATTTTATTTGAATACACGATGTCGCAACTGACATAAATAGCTTCCCATTACATGTCCTTCTCAAAAGTTCATGTGCTATATTTATCTCAAAGCTTCCAAGTCACATGTTTACACTATATACCAGATAAAAACTTTCAAATTACTTTAACCACTCCCAGATATTACAGTGAAAGTAAATCCAATTACAGATTAGGATATCAGTTTCTTCTTCTTCTCTTGCCATTCACTGATTTCAGCATCAATCTTTGCCTGAACAATTGCTTGAAACCCGGGGTAGGGCTCGTAGCCGAAGAACATTTGCAGAGCCTGAAGCAACAAGAAAACACACTAATCATGATTATGCCAAATCAGAAAATTACCACAGAAATTAAAAAAAACCATCAAAATTACCTCTAACAGAACAAAGAAGGGAGCCATTATAAAGGCCTGTGCAAGATTGTCCAACAAAGCTGGTGCCCTTTTCTGCAGATAACATAACATTTCAAGAGTATAAATGCAACAAGGAAGATATGAAGTCACAAATGGAACTAGGGAAAATAAAACAAATTTAATACCTCAAAGGCCCCATGGCCAATAAATTGTCCAGTCCAACACACTATCTGAGTCACCAGAACAACCTGAAAATTCACTCAGGTCAAATTTACAGCTAAAGGAGCAATCAATTTATTGAATTCTAAAGAAAAATCTTCACAAAAAAGTATCTGATTTCACAAAAAAAACGAAACCAAGATCAAATTTCTTGATAAAAACTAAGAATAACTCCAAATTACTGAACTTCAAAGGAAAAAAATTCAAAAAATAAGTACTAGTTCCACAAATAAACAAAACCATGATCAAATATTTCATAAAAATTAATAAAAACTCCAGAAATTACCTTCCAAGAGATGGAAAATCCGAGTAGGGTCCCAAGGAAACAACTACCAACCCAGCAAATTACACAGAGCAGAGCACCCAAGGAGCCAGCTTTTGCGTCCAAACAGATGTAAAACACCGAATAGATTATAGTCAACAGCAAGCCGATGTTGAAAGGAATAACGACGTCGTTAACCGCAAAACTGAGCAGCGAGGGCGTGAAGTAGAGGATGAGCAGAGAGGTGAAAAGGATTGGCCAGACGAAGAGCATGTGAATCGCTATGTTGACTGGGTTGCTGTGGTAAGCTCCGTAGAAAGCAAAGTGCTTTTCGAGATCGAACAGGCCGGTCTTCCCCATTAAAAAATTTTCCGAGAAAATTAGGACTTCTTGTTGCGAATTTTCTGGGGAAAATTTTTATAGGTGAAGGGTGATGGCGATTTCTTTGGCTCGTTAAGAAGGAAAAGTATAGGTTTGGGGTTTTGATGTTGTTAGATAAAATTGACCCGAACCTGCTATTCATTTGTAACATCATCTTAGGTTTGCGGTTACTTTTGTCACAGACGCACAGTTACATCGTTGTTGGTTAGGGATACACTCATAATAATGTGTATTTACTTAAGGTTATATCTTAGGTTCATGCATGATATAAAATATTGATGATATCGGAAATATCGGTAGTAAAAAAATATGGAAATTTTGATGGAAATATCGGGATATTATCGATATCGATAAAAATTGAATAAAAACCACGGAAATTGTAAGAAAAACTTGAAATTTTTTATTGAAACTTTGGATAATGTTTATTTAGTTAATTATCTATTAGTTTATCAAAAAAAATTAGAAAGAAATGCATTACATGATGGATTTAATTGATTTAAGTTGATTATACAGCGAGCTGGCAAACACTATAAGTGTAGAAAATATGTAGTAATTAATGAAAAAAAGATTAAACACACCATAATCATTTATATATAATGATTTACTACAATATTTACACTTTATACATTGCATGGTAAGATACATGAGTGATTTAGTACCACATAAAGTTCCTATGAGGTTCAAAATTTTCACTATCTTCATCATCTCTATGTGTAGAGTAAGTTTATTGTGAAGAGTATTCATCAAATGATAAATCCCCAAAATAGTTTTGCATGTAATTGCTAATATGCCACTCATATAAATATAAATATTTTAGCATATTATCACTAAAACATAAGTGATATATGGTGGTTACGGTGTTGGAGGAGTAAAATGGGAGGGGTTCAAATCCCCTTTGTGTTTGCTTTCCTCCCTTTTTTCCCTTTTTTTTTTCTTCTTTGTCTTTTTTTTTTCCTTCCTTTACATCGATATTTTCGATATTTTAGCGATATTACACCGATATTTTGACAAAATATTGCTGAAGTGTGAGCGAAATTATCGATATTCATATTTTCCGATATTATTGTCGATATTTGTACGATATGTAAATGGATATGTTCCGAAATATCCGTGATTCGAAAAAACCGAAATATCCTCGATATTTCGTTGATATTATCGATATTTCAGACTATGGGTTCATGGCATAACAATGATGTCATCGACTCATAGACTCACAGTTTGGTAGTAATGTGAGTTGATAACCCTATATAGTTGTGTGATCGTTATTGTCAAAAATTCCATAATGTGATTTTCACTCTCATTTTTCATCGATGCTCCACCAGATGAGTTTAGAAATTGAATAAATCAAAAAAGAACCGAGAGACAAAACAAGAAGATAATGCATAATGAAAAAGTAAGAGTGTGAAAGTTACTGTCTAAACTTTTCTTCTAATTTGGTCGATTAATAAGAAGTTCTAGAGTACGATTGACCGGGCCACCTCAGATTTACAAGCAACACACAAATACGTCTCACCATCCTTTGCATACTGGCCCCGACCCTCTCTAATTTTTTGTTGTGTGTTTTAATTGAACCACCGTGTGATCCAAGACGAGTATGCTTAAAACGAGGTCTGACACACCAAGTGTCATAATACAAATGGTTAAAATTTTTTTTTAGTATCGAATAATTGATTTTGTAGTACTTTGTGTATCGAATTCTGCTAAAAAATCTCTCCTAATTTTGGAGAAATTTTTAATTGTGACGGAAATATGGTTGGTACACCACGTGTATTTAGTAGTGAGAAATTATATTTTTTAAGTTATTAACTTTTTAGCACACATATTCCACTATTGGTATAGTGACACGTGATGTATCACCTCGTGTTCCAGTCACATTGAAAAATCTCTCCTAGTTTTGGCCTGTCTTTCGACCATAACAAGATGGGGTGTGCTATCTACACACCCAAAATTACTTCTCACACACCCTTTGTTAATTTCTATTCGTTGATCTTCTTCAATTCATCCGATCTAGTGGTCGAAAATTAGAAAGGTATGTGAGAAGTAAAATGAGGTGTGTGGATATCACACCCTTAACAAGATAATGAATGCCACGTGGCAAGAAGGTAAGGTCCATGTTCGATTAACGAGCAACACGGTCAGCCACAGAAACCTACCCTGCAATCCACAAGTGAGTCCATCGCCATACTTTGATGAAAATTCGAACTTGTTCATATTTTCCCCAAAGCCATGGGCAGCTTCACTAACACCACCACATCCTTCCTCCAATTCCACATCGTCACCAAACCCCAGAATTTCCGCCACAAAATCTCACTCCCCGTAATCAGAGCATCCCTTCCAGGAGAAGAGCACGACCAAGAAAATAATGCCACGAGTCGAAGAAAAATTGTGACAGCATTTTTGGTCACTACAATGGCGCTTGGGGCACATCAACACGGGGTTGCCACCCCGCTTGGACTAGCCGAAAATTGGGGCGTTCGTTCGTTTATAAGGGAACGTTTTTTCGAGCCTGGACTTTCTCCCGAAGATGCAGTGGCTAGGATTAGGCAGACCGCCGAAGGGCTACATAGCATGAGGGACATGTTGGAGGCCATGGCTTGGAGGTACGTCATATTTTACATTCGTCTAAAGTCGGCCTATCTTTCGCAAGACTTGAAAAATGCTGTGAATTTGGTGCCGGAAGCTCGCCGGAGTGAGTATGCTAAGACGGCCAATGAGTTGGTGGATAACATGGCAGAGGTAATGTTCAATCGGTTTATCATCTTGCAATGTTGCCTACACAAGTTTATCTTTCATCTGATTAATTACAATGTAATTATGTTTTTGCTGCAGCTTGATTATTATGTTCGAACGCCGAAGGTATACGAATCGTACTTGTACTACGAGAAGACATTGAAATCGATCGATGATTTGGTTGCGCTACTGGCATAGTTCTAGTGGCTCGGGTTAATATTCTGAGTGGCTTGGATTGAAACCCAATATGTTTGGGTAAATAATAAATATAGAAGTGCATGAACTGATGCAATTTTCGTAGATTTGTGATTACATTCATTTGGATTAGTTGTACAACTACATCATTGCAATTGAAAAAAAAAAATTCAAGATATTGCAGATTGTAAGATGCAAAACCGCTCCAAATTTATGAATTGTAAATGAAGAAGTGATCAGTGACCAAATTTTTTTTTTTAGATTAATAAAACTGTACATTCAAAATTTAACATGGTCACCAAAGTCAAAAATTAAGAACAGCCACCGCACAACCACCACCCGTAGCATACCGGCGACTCTACCTTATGGGCCATGTCTTGGAGAAACTCAGTCTGAATCCGGAGAATTATGTGGTTGTAGCACTGATCGATTTGTCTTACAAATTGGCTTTCATCAAAGCAGGCCAAAACTCTTGGACTTTCGCCGTTGACAACCGATCAATAGGTCGAATTGTTAACGTAATATTTTTCAAAATCCAAATCTACGTAGTTAGTATTCACGGAAGTATTTGTGTCACTGGATGTTTATTTGAGTGATAACCATTCACCGCCTCCAAAACTAAAGCTACTTACTCTGCGCTACCCGTCATGCAAACTGCGTCGTGCATATCTTGTGGAATCAACTAAGGGTGACCTCTTGCAAGTCCAGAGATTTTATGGCGCAAAGGAACCTGACATTACTCTCGGGACCTGCACGCTAAATGTCAGAAAACATTTTGGGTTGTGTGGTATCGTTTGATGGACTATGCTGCTAACTAGGTAGAAATCTGCTAAATTTGTTGCTATTTTCACGGTTTTCTTTTGGTTAATACAATACGTTGTTTTGATTTTCATATTGGTATGTCTAAATCCCTTGACAAAGTGTAAGTCTCTGCGACTTTCATTACAAGTACTGGTTTATGCGGTCGTTGTGTATTGGAAATTAATTATATTCTTCAACAGTATTTTACGATCCTCTTAGGCTAGTTGGTTAAAAATAGTATGTAAGCCCCTTCACGTATGAGATTGATCCCCTCCTGATTGATTATGGTCTAATCTCTAGATAGAATATGTATCGCCTTCGTGAAAGTTGTTCGCTTTAGTTTAGCTCTTTGGGGTTATTGCTTTTGTTACCGTGTTTAGATTCACATCTTGTAGACGTGTTTGAAGCCAAAAGATGATCTGGAAGCAACAGATTATGCATAACAAATGGATGCCAAGCTTTTTGAGATAAAGTTGCAATCTTTTTTTTCCAGAAGTGGTAATTGATGCATGTGATTCCGTTGAGGAAGAAAATACAGAACCATGAACGTCTCTGGTATACTCGCTCCTAAATCAATCAAGACCATGAAGGTTTTTGGGATTATTGAGAACTGCCCTGTGGTTATGATCTTATCGATTCTGGCAGTTCACGTAGTACCACTGATATGTATCCCTTTGGGTGAGTGTGATGTGGTATTAGGGGTTCAGTGGATTCGAACCCTATGTACGGTATTGTGGGATTTTGATAGGCTCTACATCAAGTCTATGAAGGGCAATGAGACCTACTGCAACACACACCATTCCTCTATGAACACAAATTCTCAGAGAGCGGTTTGGGTTGTGGCGCAGTTTGATGGACTATGTTAGCTTCGGATCAACGGATGATCTGGTTCCACTATTGGCCTAGTAGTAGGTGGGGTGACATAATTAACCAAATGTCTGGCTGTGTATGATTGATTAATCTTGCAATTTTCGGAGATTTGTTTGTGCTTATATTCATTGCGGTGAGTGTTGGTTTTATTTAGCGCAAAAGAAAATTGTAATTAGATATTGTAAATATGGTTTAAAGTTTAATTAAATTTACACACGATATATGTGATAATTACTAGAGCAAAAATCTTCCTATCACACACTTGCAAATTCATATTTGTATTCACACAAATAGATGGCATTCATCGTCAACAGTTGCTTGCAGCACATCAACGTCGAGAAATTGCTGCGGATGACATGATGATTAGCAGTACAAGTACAGTTATGGCGACGAAGGAGCCAATAAGAGACCCGGAAATGCGCCCACAGAAGCTGTTGAACTGCTGACAGAATGCGAACCAGTTGGTGGAGGGGTCCCGTAGTGCGCCAGGTACACTATGGCTGTACAGCAGGAGAAAAGTGATTTCAACATGCCACTTCTCTCCTCTTTACTCTTTCCCTTTTTTTTTTTCTGCCCTTTAGATTGAATAAAAGGTGAATCAATGGACATAAATAAACTGAGGAGTACAGCAGGAGAAAAGGCGACTGCGGAAATCACTTCCCTTTAGTTAGCAATGATTTCCACGTCTTTTACCGTGTCGGATATGATCAAGATGATCCTACTGTTTACTGCTGCAGTCCAGATGATATGGACAATAGATACAGGAAGGGAAAGCACAAGGTAGACGCATACGATAGAATTGGTAATCACAAAGAACCTGCATGTGACATGAACACATGCTCAAAGTTTGAGCATTTTATCTTCGGAAAAAAAGAAAATAGTGCAATTATTTTCGCGAAAACGAAAGATCCTTACGTTAACCTGGGAAGATCCTTGTACCGAGCCCTGAAGCGAACTGACCGCGCAGCGAAGGGAAGTGTTTCCCTGCTAGTTCCCATAGCTATGGCACTGGCTAATGTTCCAACGACTCGAAGAGTAAAGTCTAGGACGGAGAGCAATTTCCTCAGCTTGATTTTTGGGATCGGTTTCGATGCTTTCGTAGCCTCAACAACTGGTCCTCCTCCCGCCTTCATTTTTTTTTTTCCTCAGTTCTTTTCTTTGAAGCTGAGCTCTACAGTGGTTGGTTCTGATCTGGAGTGACAGGGGAAGGCATGCTTTTATACTAATGTGCATGTTGGAGTTCAATCCTATGTTTGTCTAAGCATGCCATGTGTAAACCTCTGATAGGCTGCAATATATATTTTTCTATCTTTACCTGCTGCACTTGCTGTGCATATATAATTCTGAACCATGAGGATGTTTCCAACCCTAGAAATTCTGGTGACGCGTCCAGGTACTAGAAAGATGGCCAATGAAGATTATGAAGTCATCTGGAATTTCTGTGGAGAATGTTGTCACTGTTTAAGTGGGTTTGGTGCTTAGGTTCCAACATGTATTTTCTTTTTTCGGTGACAAAGGGATTTTAAACTATTCTTATTTTTTCCAAAATGAGGGGTTATAACATTGAATGTAACAGGACGAACACATTACCTTAATCAACTGACTTAACCAAATCTGAGGTGTGACAAATAAGTTCATATAGCCTTCTTCAACAAACACAAAGAAATTGTTAAAATAATCAAAAAGTAAAAACCATGGCATCATTTGTCATAAAACACTCCAGCTAGTATATTTAATCAAAATTATGGTACTCATTAAATAATTACGACCCCAGACCGAACGGGGATTAGTGAAACAGATTGCGAAAACTTACTTACTGTCATGGCATGTTGAATCTTGGCCTCTTCCCTCGCCATTTTTGTATATCATCATAGAGATCTAACATGTAAACATGAGACAGACATGTAGCCAGGGACAACTTGCCGGTAATCACCTGTCGAAAACACACCTACTTCTTCCTAAATGCCACTAATCCACGATGTTAACGCTGGCGTTGGTAGCTAAACAAATCGTAACCTATGATCTGAACTAATTTTCTTTAACGTACGTTTTACCCCTAAGAGCCAATTTTATTTGATGAACATATTATATACCTGTAAATAACAGAAGAAGAGGAGAAGTTGGTTGCTTCCGGCAAGTCATCCTTGGCTGCAGCACACATTATTATCTCATGTTTGCATGCAAGACTTCAGATGAATATTCATAACTTGCAGTTGTCTGTGTGAATGGTCGGAAGGAGGGAAGAAGGGGAAATATGTATCTTTTGATGTCGAGCCAAATAATGCAAAAACGTAGTTATAGTTTTCTTTAGACAATTCGATATTCTAAACTGCTCGACAGTCGTGAGATTGGTATTCTTGGCTCCATACTCTTACTTATAAGCAAAGCATTTTCTTGGAAAGAGAATCTTATCATCACTTGCCAAAATCATGTCTGGATAATTAAGCCCATAAAGATTATGGGAAGCAATGCCTGTCGATCATTGGAAAAAGATGTTTTGCACATGATGGGTGTCACTTTTGTGATGTAATGGCATATGGGGCGATGCATAGAATGATGAAAATGGTTATGGGGTGTGACACTGGCTACCTAACTGGTAATTATAATGGCCTTTTCTTTTTCACCTTTGGGTACCTTGTTGGAGTAGAAATTAATAGTACCGACATCCGATTTTAGGAGGAAGATTTTATCTTCTTCTAATCTCATTCTCCCTCTCTTATCTCTTATTTGAACGGTTATGATTAAGCCACGTCAACTTGTGTTGACTTCTTCAAATAAAAAGAAAGACAAAGAAAAAAGTGTGAGAAGATGAGACACTCTCGAAGTCAGATTCTTCATGAACTCTCTGCCACCTCATATTTTAACGTTAATTCATGTGCCAGCATTATTAAACATTTTGTAAAAAACATGAGGTGACATAGTGTTTACGAAGAGTCTCTTTAATGTTTTTCTTATTACCAAACATTGTTTTACTCTACAGAGTTTGAAACTCACCACTTCATCCCCATGCGCACTCAAATTTCAACCAACTAGATTTTGATCTATCGATATTTCTCTTCTCAAAAGATGTTCTGAGTTCAAACTCCTCGAGAAAAGGGAAAGAAAAAAAATCAGATGTGGATTTGAGGCCGAGGTTGATGAAAACAAAGGCCCAAAAGACACAGAATTCAACCGGGTCCAATTGAAAACAAAGGCCTCAATTCTCACATGCCCAAAAGAGTACCACTCGCTCTTACCCGCTCTTGAGATTCGAGACAATGTGCTGCGTACAGCGTATTCTCTAGGCTTGCTTCTTCTTCTTCAGAGAGCCTCTGCTGCTGCTGCTTCTGCAATCGGATCCGATCTTTGATTAGGTAATAATCTTCCAACCCTTTCGCTTCACTTCTGCTATTTCCCAGTTAAGAAATCTCGATATTTATCAATCAAAACTATTAGATTTCTGCTGCAAATCAAGCAACTTAGCTGCCCAACTCACTGATATCTCTAATCCGGGTTCTTCCAAAAGTCTATGTTCCAATTGGTTTTTGCTCTGATTTTTTTATGATTACCCCTAATAGGAACCGTATTTGCAGTTTTTGCCATAGTTTCAGCTCTTCTTTCACCAACTGAAGCTTCTTGCATGTATACGAGTTTGGATTCGTGTTGTTTTTCTTCTTCTTTTTGTTGGTGCCTTTGTGCGTGCGGAAAGATTTGGGTTGAATTGTTTTGCTGCAAAGATTTGACTTTCTTTGTTACCATAGTTCTATGTCATCTTCAAGATGCTGATCCGAGCCATTTCGGCTAAAGGTTAAATAGGGAAGTTAAACTTCGCTGCTCTTGTAGCCGGAGTTTTATCTTCAATGTTGGGTATTTGGGGCGGCATGTTGAAAGGCTGCATCTTCGGTGATGCGCCGGGAGAGTGGTTTAATGGAATTAGTGCGGTTACTTCAATGTGTTTTCATGGCATCATACATTTATCAACATAGTCATAGTGATACTTCTGTGATTTGATGGATATAGTTGCACCAATGAATAGGTTGATCTTATTATGAGTAATTGTTGTATGAGATTTTAAAAAACGGAAGGAACTGGTTCGCTTATTTGGAATTCCCAAGGAAATGGCTACATTTGTTTACATCTGTTATGATTGGGTGAACGAGTCTTTTGTTTTAGCAGTTGTCGCCAGCACCCTGAGCAAAATATGTCCGGTGCAAACATGGACGAGGTTAAGGAGCAAGAGGTTGCTGATAGCACTCCTATGGATCTAGGTGATGGTGACGATGCCGGGGGAGACCAAAAAGCTTCAAATGAAAATCATGGAAATCCCATGCCTTCAGCCCAACAGGAGGTGCAACTCTGCTCTACAATTTAGTTCCGAAAATTTTGAAATGTCCTACCTGTTGCCCTGTTGTCTATTAGTACAGATTGTTTCCTTTGCATTGATATTCTCTTTTTGCTTCAAACTTTCCCAAAGTCTTAAGCTTTCGGTTATGATACGAAGTTATGCGGTAGGATCATTGTCTATGATTCTGTCTTCTGCAGGAGGCAGCAATTAAGAAAAAGTATGGAGGCATACTACCAAAGAAGACTCCCCTAATATCCAAGGTAATTGTTTGGTCTTGTATCCTTCTTTTCTTCTTATCTCCCCACTGTCCGATGTTGCTATTCTAGTTTTCGCTTTATCAAGATAAAGTTACAAACAAACAAGTTCAAATTTTCTGTCAGGACCATGAGCGCGCTTATTTTGATTCTGCTGATTGGGCATTGGGAAAGGTACTCGTGGTTGTGGATTTTCTTAAACTGCAGTTGCTATGACACTTTTAAATGACTAATCTCTTTGCCTATCTTTGGTTCTTTTCACTTCTTCAACAGCAAGGAGCAAAGCCAAAAGGGCCACTTGAAGCACTCCGCCCAAAGCTGCAGGTATGTTCGATGATATCATCCTGATTTTCTTACCTCAAGATGGGTGTTAGTTCAAAGATTGGCCAAGAAAACTAAAATTGTAACCGTATATGCTGATTCCGCTCTGCCCCTGCCAATTTTTGCTATACATCAAGTTAGTTTGTTTGCATTTGTGGTGGTTTTAATCTCTTATTTGATCTTTTTTGTTGTCATCAGCCCACACCACACCAGCAGGGTCGTTCAAGGCGCTCAGCTTATTCTCGTGGAGGCGAAGGTGATGGTATGTGCAATCAATCACCAATAAACTTCTTGTACATGTTAAACACCTCTTCAACACTCGAACTCCTTTTTCTTTTCCATATGGCAGATGGCGGAAATATGAACATTTCCTCAGAGGATCAACTAGATAGTGGCAGCGGTAACAACACTGGCTATGAGGATCAGATCCACCACCACGAGTAGGTGCTGCCTGCTGCATTTTCGCAAATTAGAAGCTGAGCATTCTATCATTACTAAAGTACCAGAGTGAATAACGTGAAAAATGCCGGATTTTTGTACTGGTTGAATCATGTAACATGAATCGTGTACACACTGATGAACACATGACATTCATTTACTTAAAATTTGCATGTTGGACATATACATTATACACTGCAGGCAGAATTTTAACTGTTTATGGCGCTATTATAACTGTTAAAACAAGCAAAAAGTAATAAGATTAAACGATATTGGTTATACTGTAGTTAGCCAAGAAAACATTGCGCCACGTGGCCTAATCACATCGCGTTCCGATCCTTCTCTGACCTGAGTCAACTCGGATTCTTCAACCGCTGGGTCACTGGTGCCGGACTGGCTCTGCGTCAGCAGTGGATATGTTCGTGCAGAGGACGGCGCTTCATTGAAGCAGCAGTGGCGACATCGTGATTCCCAATTTGGCCGCCATGGCTTCCAATTTGAAGGGTATTTTCGGCTAACATGGTTAGATGGGTATACGTTGATGAATGCATGAGCCATGTTAGAAAAAGTTCACCCTCCAAGACCAGACTGGTGCGAGGAGTTTTATGCATCAGTTTTGAATACCTCCATGAAATCTTATGAAGACGTGGTTCGTGATTATAAATTTAAAGTTAGTAAATGTTAATAGTTTTGATCTCATTTTCAACCACAGGCTTGCTTGAGACTGCTTCTAGATAGACTAAAAGTGTTTCTCTCTTGGGTCAACTAAAAGCATTTCTGACTACGTTTGACAAAGATACTAAAATGTTTTTGAGTCACCTAAGTGGATTTAGAGAAGCATATGCTCTTGAAGAATACTTTAACTTTTCAGTTAGCACTTGGATTTTTAGTGAAGTATCAATGTGCTTTTAATAACACCTCTAGCAGAAGCTATTTTGAGCAAAAATGCTTCTTACAAAAGCACTTCCTATCCAAACTGGCCAAAGCTTGAGATTAGTGTAGGGATGTTTTAACTGCGATATCATTTGATGGTTAAGATTGCAGTTTACAAGGCAGAGCTCTTTGCTGAACTGAAAGGAAAAGCTGGCAAGTGTTGGAAATTGGTGTTGGGACTGGTCCTAATCTGAGATACTATGCCGCTGATAGTGGTGTTTGGCAGGCGCTTTTGGCGTGGATCCGAATAAAGATGGAAAATTATGCTCGGGCTGCTGCAGTGGCTGCCTGTCTGCCCCTTCGAATATTGAGTTTATACAAGCAGTGTGTGAAAACTTCAAACTTCCCTTATGGCATTGCAGAAAAAACCGAAACTGGTTAGCAATAAAACTATTTTCCAATGCATAATTTCTTGTTAAGATGATAACCTAGTAAGATGATAAACTCAGGAAGGGGTAAATGCAAAGCTTAACCTTTGGAGAGAAGTGTTGGAATCTAAAGGTCTTCGCCTAAGCCGATCAAAGACAGAATATATGGAGTGCAAGTTCAGTGCAAATGGAGGCCAAAACGAGTTAGGGGTGAGGATCGGAGATCAAGAAATACCAAAGAGCGACCGTTTTCGTTACCTAGGATCTATCTTGCAAAAGAACGGAGAATTAGATGGAGATCTCAACCATAGAATACAAGCTGGATGGATGAAGTGGAAGAGTGCATCCGGCGTGTTGTGTGACCGCCGTATGCCACTGAAGCTCAAGGGAAAATTTTATAGGACGGCAATAAAGCCGGCGATGCTGTATGGCACAGAATGTTGGGCGGTGAAACATCAACACGTACACAAAATGGGTGTAGCGGAGATGAGGATGCTTCGTTGGATGTGTGGGCACACGAGAAAGGATAAGATTAGGAATGAGGATATCCGGGGTAAAGTAGGAGTAGCCGAAATTGAAGGAAAGATGAGAGAAAATCGGTTACGGTGGTTTGGACATGTGCAAAGAAGGCCTACTGACGTTCCGATTAGAAGATGCGACTATGGGACAGAGGTTCAGGGCCGAAGGGGTAGAGGAAGACCTAGGAAAACTTTGGAAGAGACTCTAAGAAAAGACCTAGAGTACTTAGATCTAACGAAGGACATGACACAGGATCGAGCACAATGGCGTTCTAAGATTCATATAGCCGATCCCACTCAGTGACTTGGATTTTCCAAGTCTCCAACTGAGAAGTTTTCCTCACTCGGGAAATTAAGGGAACACTACCCCAACCTACATGCTCCACTCAGAAAGCTTCAACATACAAGCTTTAACAAAAGAAAATTCAAAGAACTTAGCGAAGAAGGCTTTGGTGTATTTAACACAATACGTTGAAATGAAGGAAAGCTTATTTATTGATATCCCCGATAAGCTACAAATATGTACATATACATGAGTCAAAATAAGCACACAAGAGGGAGCCTTCACAAAGGTTGCTTTGGAGAAGTCTCAGCAGTCGGTAGAGCCCCAGAAAGAGAAGGCACCGAAGGGGGATCATTTGGAGCCTCAGTACTGGACAGAACCCTAGAAGGAGGAGGCATCAGAGGTTGATCATTTGGAGCTTCATTACGCGGTACAGCCCCAGAAGACGAAGGCAATAAATGCCTTTGGAACAAACCCACAAATCTCTGATGATCAAGTAAAACCTGACCATCAGTTTCCTTCATCTGGTCAAGCTTCCTCTTCATGTTTGTAGCATAGTCATGTGCGAGCCGGTGCAACTGTTTATTCTCATGCTTGAGCCCTCTAATCTCCTGTTTGAGACTCATCACTTCAGCCGCCAATGATTCAACTTGGCGGGTTCGAGCAAATAGGCGTTGGGCCATATTAGACACAGAACCTGCACACTGAACACTGAGAGCCAGCGAATCCTTAACAGTTAACTCATCAGACCGTTTGGAAAGTAGTCTGTTATCTTTGGGAGTGAGAAGGTTCCTGGCCACCACCGCAGCGGTCATATCATTCTTCATCACGGAATCCCCAACGGTAAGAGGACCAGTAGGGGAGACGAAGGATGGGCGCCATATGTTGTCTGGAGAAGGCGGGGCTGCCTCTTCAACAAGGTTCAAGTCAAAACGACGGTCGGAGGGGCCAGACATTTTCAAAGGGTGTTGAAGAGAGAAGAGGTCGGACAAATCAAGATCTTAGAAGTGCAAGAATGAAGCTTCTACTGGTGGAGATTCAAGTGTGCTTTGGAACTTAATGCCAGCCCCTATAAAAATCTGCACTCGACGAAGCTTCAGAAATCGAAGAGGCGCCTGCTCAGAAATCGAAGAGGCGTTTGCTTTCTCAAAAGTTGGGCTGCTTAGAGATCACGAGGGTTGATCTCAGAAATCGAAGAGGCGTTTGCTTTCTCAAAAGTTGGGCTGCTCAAAGACCACGAAGGCCGATCTCAAAAATCGAAGAGGCGCTCGCTTTCTCAAAAGCTGGGCTCCCCAGAGACCACGAGGGCCGATCTCAGAAATCGAAGAGGCACCTACTTTTCAAGCCTTTTCCAGCCTTGTCAGCACCTGTCACACGCACACTCAGTTTTGCGGAAATTATGGGCATTCTGTCAAAGACTTCTGGGGAAGTAGAAAACACATGAATCTTACTGTTCAATCACCCACTTTCCACACGCAACAATAGCTCATGGGTACCACAGATAACTTTGCCAAAGTTCTCTGCCAAAGTTGAGCAGCACGTGAAGCTTGCAGCTCCCACTACATCGCTCTGACCAAGAAGGGTAAAAGAATAGCAAAGAAACAGCACTAACAAAGTTTAGACCCATAAATTTTGAAGGTCTAGCTACCATATTATTACCCACAAGGGTAAAGGAACAGTACCACTGCTGGATAATTGGAAAGTCCCTGTGTGTCAACCTCTGTGCTGTTCGTGGCAAGGTAGACTAGCAAACATGCCCAACCTTTACTCACATTCGAGAAAACACTCCCAATAAGATTGCTTGCTCCAAAATCGAAGAGGCACCGTCCTCCGAATCTCGAGAGCCAGACTCCCAACATGACTACTTTCTTAAAAATCGAAGAGAGGGTAAAGGAACAGTACCATTGCTGGATAATTGGAAAGTCCCTGTGTGTCAACCTCTGTGCTTCGTGGCAAGGTAGACTAGCAAACATGCCCAACCTTTACTCACATTCGAGAAAACACTCCCAACAAGATTGCTTACTCCAAAATCGAAGAGGCACCGCCCTCCGAATCTCGAGAGCCAGACTCCCAACATGATTACTTTCTCAAAAATCGAAGAGACACTGCTCCTCGAATCTCGAGAGCCAGACCCCCAGCATGATTGCTTTCTCAAAAATCGATGAGGCATCGTTCTCCGAATCAATCGAAGAGGCGCTCGCTTTCTCAAAAGCTGGGCTGCTCAGAGACCACGAGGGCCGATCTCAGAAATCGAAGAGGCACCTACTTTTCTAGCCTTGTCAGCACCTGTCACACGCACACTCAGCTTTGCAGAAATTATGGGCATTCTGTCGAAGACTTCTGGTGAAGTAGAGAAAGCACATGAATCTTACTGTTCAATCACCCACTTCCCACACGCAACAATAGCTCATGGGTACCACAAATAACTTTGCCAAAGTTCTCTGCCAAAGTTGAGCACGTGAAGCTTGCAGCTCCCACTACATCGCTCTGACCAAGAAAGGTAAAAGAATAGCAAAGAAACAGCACTAACAAAAGTTTAGACACATAAATTTTGAAGGTCTAGCTACCATATTATTACCCACAACTGTAAAGGAACAGTACCACTGCTGGATAATTGGAAAGTCCCTGTGTGTCAACCTCTGTGCTTCGTGGCAAGGTAGACTAGCAAACATGCCCAACCTTTACTCACATTCGAGAAAACACTCCCAATAAGATTGCTTGCTCCAAAATCGAAGAGGCACCGTCCTCCGAATCTCGAGAGCCAGACTCCCAACATGACTACTTTCTCAAAATCGAAGAGAGGGTAAAGGAACAGTACCATTGCTGGATAATTGGAAAGTCCCTATGTGTCAACCTTTGTGCTTCGTGGCAAGGTAGACTAGCAAACATGTCCAACCTTTACTCACATTCGAGACAACACTCCCAACAAGATTGCTTGCTCCAAAATCGAAGAGGCACCGCCCTCCGAATCTCGAGAGCCAGACTCCCAACATGATTACTTCCTCAAAAATCGAAGAGACACTGCTCTCCGAATCTCGAGAGTCATACCCCCAGCATGATTGCTTTCTCAAAAATCGAAGAGGCATCGTTCTCCGAATCTCGAGAGCCAGATACCACAGACCACTTTTTCAAAGTGCTCTGACAGAGTTAAAACATGTGAAACTGGCAGCTCCCACTACTGTGCTATGACCAAGCAGGGTAAAGGAATAGCATTACTACTTGTTGTTAGGGAGACTCCTATATATGTCGACCTCCATCCCCAACGGACAGGCAGACCTGCAAAAATGCTCAACCCTTCATCATATCTGAGAGGGCACTCCCAACGAAGCCTTTCGAAATATTCAGCTTTCTTTCCCCCCGATAATACCTCTGCAAACAAGCTATACTAGAGCAAGAATATCTCATATCATCAGGGTTAAAAGCAAGAGTATCCCATATCATGCTTTTTCCCTGTCTTTTTCTTTTGGCCTTGTTTTTACCTGCAAGACAAGGAGAAAGAGAGCAATCAGTCAGCACTTGGAATCAAGCTTCCAGCCAGGAACTGACTGCCTGGAACCCCTTACCTGATTACTTACCTGGCATTGCTCTCTCGAGTACTCATCTTCAACATCTTATGTTTCCAGGGAAGATTCCGCATCTGCTTGAGGAACAGATAGGGCAAGTGCGAAGGATACAAGGAAGCATGTGGAGACAAGCGTAACAGCACACGTGCCGATACATTCATTACTCTGTCAAAAGCAAAAGTATCCCATATCAGCAGGGTGGAACGTACTCTAGATTTGATGGACTTGTTTTGACCCTCAAATTCTTCAGTCGGCCTTATACTCTGGAGGAAACCAGAAAACCCTCCAGCTCAGTTCAAGAATAAGCCTGTGGAAAGTTACTTCTTCAAAAGCAAAAGTATCTCATATCATCTCTTCTCATTTTTCTTCTCTTTATCCTTCATGCTGCTGCAAGATGGGGAGAAGGTGAACAATCAGTCGGAGCTCTGATTGCTTACCTTGTCTGTCACCTCTTTCAGCAGACCCCCTAGCTCGGCGACTTGGGGGACTCCTACTACATGGTTTGTATCGCGCTTGACCAAGCCTGAAACTACAAGTAAGCTTCAAGTGAAATTGATACATTACCTTGTGCATCTCCACCAGTTAAAGATACCACCCCTGGATGGAGGAAGAGTACTTCCAGAGAAGATGCCACATCTACCTATGAGACAGATAAGGCAAGTCAAGACGACACCACACTCCGATACTTAGAAGTTTCGTGACTACGAGATCATTCTCCCACAATATTTCCTAATGTCATTTGTACTAAATCATTCACTTGTACTCACTAAATGAGAGCTTGAACCTATGTACTTGTGTAAACCCTTCACAATTAATAAGAACTCTTCTATTCCGTGGACGTAGCCAATCTGGGTGAACCACGTACATCTTGTGTTTGCTTTCCTATCTCTATCCATTTATATACTTATCCACACTAATGACCGGAGCAATCTAGCGAAGATCACAAAAAGCAATCGTTTTCGCTACCTAGGATCTATCTTGCAAGAGAACGGAGAATTAGATGGAGATCTCAACCATAGAATACGAGCTGGATGGAAAGAGTGCATCCGGCGTGTTGTGTGACCGTCGTAGGCCACCGAAGCTCAAGGGAAAATTTTATAGGACGGCAATAAGGCTAGCGATGTTGTATGGCACAGAATGTTGGGTGGTGAAGCATCAACACGTACACAAAATGGGTGTAGCGGAGATGAGGATGCTTCGTGGGATGTGTGGGCACACGAGAAAGGATAAGATTGGGAATGAGGATATCCGAGGTAAAGTAGGAGTAGCCGAAATTGTAGGAAATATGAGAGAAAATCGGCTCCGGTGATTTTGAACATGTGCAAAGAAGGCCGACTGACGCTCCGGTTCGAAGATGTGACTACGGGACAGAGGTTCAGGGCCGAAGGGGTAGAGGAAGACCTAGGACAACTTTGGAAGAGACTCTAAGAAAAGACTTAGAGTACTTGGATCTAACGGAGGACATGACACAAAACCGAGCGCAATGGCGTTCTAGGATTCATATAGCCGACCCCACTTAGTGGGAAAAGGCTTTGTTGTTGTTGTTGTTGTTGTTGTGAGCTTCTTTGTTTACCTGTGATTAAATTTTGTTTTTCAAGTTTTCGTTTGCTTTCGCAATTGTGTTTGCGTTTTGTTTGTGATGCAAGAAAGTTTTGTTTTTCATAGCCGGGAAATGCTAATCTTAACAGGTTGGGGAGGCTATTCCATTAGATGATGCTTCAGTTGATGCAGTTGTTGGAACTCTTGTGTTGTGTTCTGTTAAAGATGTCGATAACACTCTGAAAGGTAATTTAGCTTACGAGGGGCACAATTTCCTTTTCGTACACTTGTAGCACGAGGTAATTGTCGTCTAAGGGTTACTACTTGTGATTGTAGATGCCTTTTTCTTTCTAAGTTGATCGTTTGGGAAGCATCCGTTTTATTTCTTCAGCTTTCGAAAAAACTGCTCCTTCTCGCTGTCAAATGATGATGTGAAATGCGCATTCGTTTTTCACACCATGTAACTTCTGCAGACTGCAGACCGTGTTAATCTAAATCCGAATTATATTAACAAGTTCATTTGTCCTGTAACCTTCAGATATAAGGGGAGTTCTAAGGCCAGGCGGACGTTACCTGTTCGTGGAGCATGTGGCTGCAAAAGGTAGTGTGAGCTGGAAATCTTAATTCATTGATGACATTTAACGTAAGAGTATTGTGGTTTATCATTTTGTTTGCAACTGTATGGTGCTGCTGCAGATGGCACAATCCTCAGATTCATACACAATGTTATTGATCCTCTGCAACAAACCCTAGCTGACTGGTGTCGCCTCACCTGGAAAACGAGAAGCAAACACAATTGCGACACCTTGTCCAAATTTAAATCCGGGTTCTCGGACGTTAACCTTCACATGACCACCTTCTCCAGTGCCTCAATTATAAAACCCTCAAGTGTATGGAATAGCTTGTAAGTGACAACGTAATGTTATTACCCCGTCGTTCAATATTGGTCTCAACAGATGACGCGAGAGAAAACAAAAAAAAGTGAGTGCATGAACCTGCATGCGATAGCTAAATTTTCTTCTATGCATTATCTTTCGGCTTGTGGGCCTCAAGGTTCTTGCTTTTTGCTGAAGGGAAGTTGAACTAGCAATTATATAATGGGGTCTTTCAACATGGGTCCAATTTTATAAGGCTGTTTTGAAAGGAGTCCTTTGTATTACATCGTCCAAGGTGGGGCCTAGCATGTATAATATATCTCCACGTCAGTTATTTAGATGTCCATAATTTTCAAACGAATTACACCACTTGCCACTACGTAGTTTTTGAAATGAATTTGCCAAATTCCGAATATTTTGGGGGCGCTGAGTTTATCTCGTCGATTCCAATGATTTTTAAAAAACAATCTTCCTGATTCCTGCTTGTATAATTCAAATTCGAATTATGAGATGGATAAATATGATTCCGGCAAACAATCAATGCAGGAAGGAGTCTGGGTTTTGAAGGATATTCATACCTGGTGAACTGGTATGGTAATATGCACCTGTTTTATCTGTTCATCCTTTGTTGTTAGTTGCTTTTGTTGTCTACCTATATGAGTGGAAGGAAACCATAATTTTCCTATTAGGGTGGAAGTATAGATTATATATGCACTTGATTTGAGACATTTTTTTTAGGTGAAATTGGGTTTATATTACTGATTTGGGCTAAAGATTTTTAAACCAGGATCAATAGAAGTTTGAGCCTTGAGTTTTTAAATACGCGTTAATTGGGTTGGTGGGTTTTGTAGAACAGGTAGCTTAATAGCACCTTTTGTTGGTTGTGTCTTAGTTGTTGTTGTCTACCTATAGGGTGGAATGAAAGTAAACTACTTGTATCTCATTGTATCTCATTGATTATCAGAGAAGACAACAAGAGCTTGAAGAACAGAAAACATAAAGGATATCAGTAATCCAAATTCAAAAATTATTATCAAGATATCGTACAACAGAAGATGACCGAAACTGAAGAATGCATTTTTTTTTTATGGATAATTAAAGATGAATATATACAGAATTTGAATGATGATACAAATAAAGAACATGGAAAAATAGGAGGGTAAAATAGTAATCACAATGCAAACAAATCAACTTAATCACAAAAAATGTTGACATGGAGTCCTAAGTAGAAAATAACTAAAAATTGGACTAATCTTAATGTTGGGCCATAAAATTGGACCTATTTCAAGTTACCGCTTATATAATTCCTGATGAATTAACAATTAGCGTAATCTGTTTGTTATACCTATAAGCTATAATAATGTATGATTATCAACTTAAATAAAAAGGGGTCCCATAAATAATGGTCAATTATTCGAGAAATTTTTGTATATCGGACCGTGTTCCTAACACACTGAAAAAATCTCTCCAATTATATGAAGCTCAAAGAACTATAATTTGGACCAAGAACGAGCCGCAGGTGCCAGATTATAATTACTTTATGGCGGGGGGAGGTGCACTTGATATCCAAAAAAAGTTGATGGAGAATGTTGGCTAGATAGAGGCGTTTTATGGCGGGTCGAAAATTGAGTTTGATTCTAATTAATAGGATTAACACTTACAGTGCATCGAAAATTTAGGGACATAGAAGTGGTTATGAAACAATATTGGTCACTACAACCTCAGTGCAAGGAATTTGGCAACTTCACTTGGACCTCAAGAGTAAATCCATATGTTCCAACTTCTACTATTTTTTGTAACATATCCATGAAATAAATAAATAGACATATGATTTTTTAATCCTACAAGAATAAAACAAATTCTATAACTCAGAAAATCATGAGCCAAATTAAATATATATTATCCTGCTTAGGTTGGTCCCATAATGTGTGTGTGTATCTCATGTCTAATTTAATATATAATCTGATTAGCTCCTTTCAATCTTATACAATTTAATATATAATCCAATTATGGGTATGAACAATTAAAATAAGGGAACTTTAACGAAAAGCACCAGGTACTGTTCACTTTAAAGAAAAACCACATTTTTACACTAAAAAGTCAATATTGGTACTATTCATTTTACCCTTTATTTTGTCCTTATCATTAAAACTCAATGTTTTCAAACCCTTTTCATTAGTTTTCCTTTAAAATAAATGTAAAGAAAGTAAGTTGAAAAAGAAGAAAAAAAATTAATGACAAATTTTTCGTACAAAAAAAATAACAACGACCATATCTTATTACCCTAAGTAGGGTCAGCTGTGTGAATCCTAAAATGATATTGCATTCGATTTTGCATTGTCTTTCGTTAGCTCTAAGCAGTTTATATCTTTTCTTTTTAAATTATGAGAAAATTGGAAGAATAATTATGAGTTATGTCATGCACACAATGCCAACATAAAAAACCAATATTTGCCACCTATACAAAATTGTTAATTAAACTGCACCCAAAAGAGAAGGCAATTGATTAAGGGTTTTGATAAAGTTTAATGGGGATTACATAAAATTATGCAAAAAGGGAGGATCTTAATGCAAAAAGATCCACTAAACATGCTCCTCCTTTTTCTCCCCAATATATTAGGGTTTTCCATTTCTTCCTCACTCCACAACCAGTCTCGCGTAGGTCACGGCTCTGACTCAGAGAGTTTCTTATCGTGCTTCGTCACTGGCGGGTAATTGTAAGCTCCTGTCGCTCTCTATTTCTCGATTTACATTTCAGGGATTCAAAAATACCCAACTGTTTGTATCCAATTTGTAGGGTTTTCCACTGATTTCAGCTCCCAAATGCGCGTTCCATCTGTGTTTTTTTTCTTCACTGTAATTTCTGGATGGGTTTTTGGTGTTTCGAAGACTAAAATTTTGGTCTTTTGAAAAAAATATTTACTGAGATTTTTGTTGAATATTCTATAAATATGAAAAAATGAATTTCCGAAAGACTTGAAATTTGAGTTAACTTGGGTCGTTATAAAAATACCCTTTTGACATAGGTGGTAAAAGTCACTGGATTTGTCGAATTTATGTAATTTTTCGGCTCTTTGTAGTTGTTAGTAGTTATCTCTATGCATTTCATTGTTTTTGTTTTAATAGCTGATATGTGGTTGTGGTGATGGATTAGTTTGTTGTTGAGTATTTGCGTTCTGGTGTTTTATTTTGTTGAAAGCTTGAAGCGAATTGTGTATTCGGTGTTTGAACATAGCCTTGTCTGAGTTCTTCTGGCTTAACTTTGTTCGTAGGGTTTGCCACTATGACCGTTGAAGAATTTTGAAAGTTTTCTGCTTTGCTGAAGAAGTATGGGGTTGTAAGCAGCATACTTATATTATGTCTGGTTAATGTGGAAGGAACTCTGATCCTATTTATACGTGAGTTTGCCCGTTTTACGCGTGAAGTTCATGAGGTCAAAGAAAACCCTTGAGTACAGCATTAGTAAGGTCAGACGTTGCATAGTACATCGTAGTATGATGTGTTGTACTATGAGCCTTTGATAAGTGACACTTGGCATAAATGAGCGTAACTTGTTTCTGCGATGACGAATTCTTGTGAGTAATGTAAATTAGTGAGCTGAGCTTCAGGAAGGTTAGTATCAAACATAATCAATCTCCTTGTGTCTTATAAAAAATAGCTAAAACGGGGTCACTGTGTTGTGTGGCCGCAAGGCCACATGAATCACATACTGCCAGTAGGGACTGGTCGATGGGTCCAGCAGAGCCATGCTGGCGAACTAATACTAGCTTCTCACCACCCCCATCAAGATGGGATTTCCGTTTCCAACCTGAAGAATTACAGTACGGTTTTCATGATGGTATTCAGCAATATGGGTCTTCTACTTCATCAAACAGTAAAGGAAGTAGGGGCTGGGTGAGAGGCAACAATCTCTACAATCACCACTACTCAGCTTCTGATGGTGCTGGGCTGTTTTTAAGTGGTTCATCTGACCTTTCTCAAGGTCCTCAATGGACACCTCCAGCAATACAGGAAATCAGTGTAGATGATTATGAAACTGCAAAAAAGAGAGGTAATACAATTGATGATGAATCTTTATTCTGTTATATTTGTGCAAACACACACATTATGACGTCTGAGATGAATTTCTACTTCTTGGCTTTAAATCTGGTGACAGAAAGTGCAGATGAGTTATGTTTGGTAACCTCAATGGTTTAAGATATTTCTCGGATTCCATATATTTTTCCGGTTCATTTAGTTGGATTGAACTGGACCATAGTACCATTTTATGCCTGTTAATGATCTTACAATGTATCAATGAATTTGTGCAAAGTATCTGCATGATTATTGTTTATATTTTTGAGCTACACATCTGCATATGCAGCTACTCCACAATTTGAGTGTATGTAACAGTCTCGTGAAAAATAGGGGTGTGCTATCCACACACCTCATTTTACTTCTCACACATCCCTTGATTTCTGTCCGTTGATCTTCTTCAATTCATCCGATCCGACGGCCGAAAATTAAAAAAGTGTGTGAGAAGTAAAATGGGGTGTGTGGATATCACACCCCGAAAAATATTATTACATATATAGTACCCGTTAACATCTGTGTGTATGTGTGTACCGTGAAGGTGTCCCAAAAAGCTAAGCCATCTGAATTAGGTGATCTGATAGATGGTTCTTACTAACTATCCTACGTATATGTCCCATTTGGTTATTATAGATCATCTGTTGGGCACTTCTATAATGATAACTAGTGTCATGCTTGACTACTTATAATTAACAACTTAAAATGCATCTTGTTCTTCTCGATCATGTAGGGTGCTAGTGATAAAGAATTTTTGGAGCTTATTGTATCTGATCTGGAATTCCATTCGTTTCAAGATCATTTCTATGAGTTAGTAAACTTGGATGTGGACCTTTGTTGTGCCCATTAGATTCCCAGGTACCGGATTGCAGATGATCACAAGTTCAATTGACATTTCAGACTTTTGAGATTCTTGATAGAGTATCCTCGGGGATTTTCAAAGTTTCCATTTTGAAGGATTTGGT